TCTTTCATGGCCCTGGTTTGACGAATACTGTTTCTAGCGGGTGCAAAGGGGCTCAAAGTGACTACGCCGGTGAACCTTTTTGGGAATCAACAAAGTTTTTCTTTTGCCGCAAAAAAATATAAAATCGAAAAAAATAAAGAAAAAAAAATAACTGAATAAAATAAAGCTCGGTGTTCCCAGCCCTACCCATATGGAAGACACAAGGCTAGATTAGGTTCAAAGAGCGCTGGAAAATTAGGCGAATAGACCATTTCTTCAGTAATAGAGAGTAAGGGTCCTTGCAATAAGAAATGCCTTTTCTTGTTTCATAGGTCGTGCATCTGTACACACCTTACCACCCGCTGCCACTCGTATTGTCGATTGAATCTAGGCTAAAGAGCTTGAGGAAGTGCGGAATGCTTTCCCTAATCTCTCGAAAGTTGGTTGAGAGATACTGGGGTTGAGATGGGCTGACTCTCCAAAAATGCGTTTTGAGAACCCCTTCGCTCGTAGGACTGGAGACGAGATCTGTCTGGTCGTAAAGCAAACCGACAAACTGCGTGAAAGTTGTATAGAGCTCATGGTCGCTCTCCAGTAGTTGTTGAACGTGATCATGACGTTTTCTGAGCCCCCTCTGCAGTTTTTTACAAAGATGGCTAGGGAAAACGTCCGCGTCTGGGGAATGAAGGTGGTATTCTTTGAAGCGGCATGGTGATAGTTGTGGCAGAGCGGTTGTTGCGCAGTGAATAAGTTTAGATGCTGACTCCATTGTTTCCTGCTTCTGTTCCTTCTCGAATTCTTCATAGACGGTGCCGGCAAGGCAGTATAAATCACAAAACAAGGCGTGGTTATTTTTGGAAAGAAGCAGAGAAAGACTCATTGGGCCTAGGCGCACCGCACAGTGACAACACCCCATGGCCTGGGGGCTAAGATAAAGTCTTGCCGCAGAAAGGCAGATGGTTTGTGGGCTGAAGCGTGAGAGATCTTGCGCTGGTCTTTGCTGCTGTCGAGAGAATAATAGACGGTATATGCTACGACAAGAAGCCGCCATGGCTTGATTTGTGGACTAGTAAAGATATGAATTTGGAGAGACTGCCGTGGATTTCAAATTCCCCTTCGACGACCCGGAAAGAGCCCCGGAAGGGAGCTGCTGTATCGGGTATAATACAACTCTCTCTCTCTCTCTCTCTCTCTTCAATTTCCCCTGCATATTGCTACTGTCCCCTGTAACCAACCGACACCATCTCCATCTGTAGGTCGAATAGGGTTCGTGAGGTCACGTGGGCCATTACCTCAACACTCAAGTCCTTCAATCACCTCGGAGGGTTAGCAATTTGTTCTAAGGTTGCCTTAGGGCCTTCAGGGCTTCCCTTGGGGAGTTTCGTTAAGGATCTTATCTTTCAAGTAGGAAGTCCCAATCTGTGCATTAATCTCGTTATAGAAGGACTTTATCTGGAACCACAATCTGTCTGATGGACCGCTGTCACGGCCCAACTCGTACTTCCACCACCACCACAAGTCCCTTCAGAAACTCGCCGCCATGATCATATCGGATGCACCTGCCCATCCAACGGGCCGCCTTCCCAAACCCGACTATTTCCATCTCTTTCCCTCTGCATCGAACGCTCTACCTTTAAGTATGCCTGATCTTCTACGTCCTAGCGGTACCATCTACTTGAAGTACGGTGTGTATGAGCATTGCTTCACTGCTATCCACGACCATTCTGACTTTCTCCGAAGATACGAGACCACACAGCAATATCTCGAATTTTCTGGCGTGACCGGCTCAGATTTGGACAGCCTCTCCTCGGACCAGAACCGCCCGTCTAAATCTATCAGACTCGGCTACCACTATTCGACTCAAGTGCCGCTTGTAAACTTGATGTCGGGCTGGAACCACGAGGATTTTGCCGGCTCCTTTCGCATGATAGGAGATGAACAGCTGTTCGCCATGTAGATCAGCCGCGAGCTTGTCGCCCGCCCACCGCCAATCAACAGTCTTGGATACTGGGCCAATGAGCCCAATATCTGCTCAGCGCCCCGGACGGCCCATTCTAACCTTACCTGTGTCGTCGAGGTTGGAACATCCGAGTCTGCGTCACAGCTGGCCCTCGACGCTCGACGCTGGTTGCAGATACCATTCACCACCGTCGCACTGCCCTAGCGATCTCAATTATGTAGAACACCAGCGATGGCCTAATTGCAGTTCACGTTTGGAAGCTTGGTGATTGAGCATTCACCATCGGAACCCGTAACATGCAGCGCTCTGCATTCTTAGTCCTATCTATTCATGGGGATTTCACGTCCACCGGTAGCGACCGTCCCCACGGTTACAGGTCATCGTCCAGACCAGTACACGTATTCCAGGACTTCCACTCATGAGATTTGCCTTGCCTTTGGTAATCGCGCTGGTTGCCAAGCGGCAGGAGGCATGGAAGGGCAGGTCATCCTCACAAAGGAGCTGCTGGTCCAATTCGCGACCGACTTTTAGGATATCCCTCCGTAAAGACAACTGTAAAGTCAAATCACCAACTAGTATCAAGACGGTCCTTCTGCCAGGGATCCTTTGGCTAGTGACTGTTCAATTCGATACCTCGATAGTATTATTACCTTTCATTATTAAATTGTCTCACGTCCTGGGGTGTACTAGGTTTTGCCGCCTTGGCCTTTCCTTTTCCCCCTCCACCTATCTCTATGTATAGGATATGTATAGGACGAAATAATCCATTCTCGAGGGGTATAAAAATATAGGTCCAGATAGGGTGCGTGATGTGGATGTTAAACGGAGAAATGAACAGTATATCTCTCCAAGGGCCTGTCACAGGCCTCATTAGGTGGGGTGTGTCTGTTTCTACAAGGCGGGGAGTTGCTTTTGGTTTACACCAGAGAAATTATTCAACGCTCAAACCACGCTAGATCCGAGCATTATAGTAGACATATATTATGTTCAAGGCATATACCATTGCCTCACGATGTGTAAGTGTCTAATCAAAGGCAGCAACAAATATATAAGCGAGAGTAATTCGTGTTATTTTATCATTGCACCATGTACCGGTTTGCTGTGCGGGGATTAATACTACAATCCTCCCAGTAGTCGTTTTGATTACTTGTTTTAATCACGCTAAAGAGAACCCACTCAGCTGGTTCCATTTATAGCACCGCATATTTAGTATCCCCATGATTCTACAGAGATCTTGAAAATAAATATCCATTGCCATAGAACATCCCTTTTACTCTTTTGACCCCGGCAGCTTTGCCCTAGTTGTGAGATCCATTGGGTGAGGATATTTGGCATGAAGCTCACCCAGCCAAGATCTGTTGCGCTAATAATGCTGGCCGCGCAGACGGTATACTCCCATTTGAAAATTATTTCTCCCGTCCCATTTGGCGTGGATACGCTGGACAATTCCCCTCTTCATGCCAGTGGAAGGGACTTCCCCTGTAAACTGCGCCATGGGGCCTTTCAAAGTCCAGAACAGCCAAATGTGATAGCGATTGGGGAGCCCCAAGTATTAAGACTAACTGGGACGGCCACGCACGGAGGTGGGTCCTGTCAGATCAGTTTAACTACTGACCTGACGCCCTCGCGGAAGTCTGATTGGATGGTAATTTCTAGCATCGTGGGTGGCTGCCCGGTTAATGTCCAGGGCAATCTGCCCCCTAGACGATCGGATCCCCTGACTTTGAATTTCACCATTCCATTTGGTGTGTCTCCTGGGACATATACATTAGCCTGGACCTGGTTCAATCGACTGGGAAACCGAGAGATGTACATGAATTGTGCTCCGATCACCGTGATAGGAGATCCGCCCAAATATCCCAAAACCTTTCCACCAATGTTCGTTGCTAATATCAATGGATGTATGACTCGTGAGGGGATTGATGTCCGCTTCCCTCATCTCGGAGACCGTATCTCCTACAACGGAGAGAAAACTCATCTGGCACCAAGGTTCTCTCCGGCCTGCACTGGCCATCCCAGGTTTGGAGGTGGAGAAAATAGGCTTGCGAGCACGTCTAGTCCAGCAACGCCTTCACTTCCTAAGAGCGGGGGGAGGCGGGAAGCAATACCTCCTTGCTTCCACCGGTACACGCTATTTCTCACCGTCCAGCAGGAGCACTAAAAGCCCCATCGGGTAGATCAACGGCTTCCGAAAACTACAGGGTCACTTCGACACCAACCGAGGGGGTGGCGTCAAGCCCCCAGCGGCTGCGAGAGTTGAAGGGCCCATGTTCAAGGGAAAGCATGAAACATTGTGTCAGTCGTGACTTCATGCAGGTGTGTGGGAGTGGGAAGTGGTCTACACCCCAGCAAATGGCCCGGGGAACATTTTGTACACTGGACCATATCTGGATCTAACGGTATTTGTTAAATCGATGGGGGAACGACGCAGCGCATTTTGACAGGGCATATAAAATGCATGTTGGATGGGTACGTTTTCCTTCGTTATAAGCACCCAATGGTATCTTGATCGTAATTCATTTGGTAGTAAAAGATAATTTACAATACTTAATTCAAGAGTCTATTCTTACTACTTAGTATTTCATACCTGATTTGATCGGAGGCCTAATTTACGAAGCACATGGAGATAGTGCCCAAGGGCGTGCTATAAGTATTTTATTTACCGGAAGCTGTATTGACATCGGAATAAAGGTCAGTGAGGTACAGATTATCTATACATCAGTCACACCCAAGACCCTCCAAGAGGCACGTCGGCACTGCCATACGGCTAGCTAATAATAGGTTGTTTGAAGCGTTCAGGCCGTACATAATAGTCAGCCCTTTAGTATTGATAGAAGTGCCTATGTCCTACCTCCCGAGGTTTGCTCGACGTCACGAAAGGTGGCAGATCGAGAGAGTGCCCCTCTTCACGCAAGCTCACTGACCCCCTCGCTTAACAGGAGCTCTCCCCGCCCTCCCTTTGCTGATGCTATAAATTGATGGCAACCGAACGTGCAATCTCCAGTTCAGTTATAACCCCCTATAGCATTCAATACAACACAAGAAAAATTCACCGGAAACCATGGCTCTGACTCACACATACCTCAATAGCCTCTGGTGCTTCCTGGGTACTCTAGTCGTTACCCGTTTTCTATGGAGCTACCTTCGCTCTCCCCTCAAACCTTTCCCCGGCCCCATTGCAGCCAGGTTTACGGATATCTGGCGTTTTCAGGACGTACTCAAAGGTCGATGTGATGTTACATACATTCAACTACATCGGAAGCATGGCTCGGTCGTTCGCATGGGTCCAAATATCCTGAGCCTGTCGGATCCAAAATTGATCAAGCAAGTCTTCACCACCAGAAATCCATGGTTAAAGGTACGCTCTCTCTATCCTGGGCAAGATCTCTAATGAGGGAAGTAACACTCACCTTTTGAACAAAAACAACAGAGTGATATGTATAATGTGAATGACGTCGTGGTAGCGGGGGTACGCTACAAGAACCTTTTCTCGCACCAGGATGAGAACTGGCATTCCATATTCATCCGGCCAGTAAAGCCAATTTACTCCATGCGCAAAGTCCAGGAGGCAGAACCTGCTATTGACCTGACCATTGAGCTGCTGATCAAAGTACTCCGCGAGTGCTTCGTTACTCCAAACAACGTCTGCGATATGTCAAAGTATCTCATGTTTTGTATGTCCGTGTTCAGGGAGGCATCTAGGGACCTGCTAACTTTGATAGTCGCATGGGATACCATGAGCCAGGTTACAATTTCTCGCACCCTGGGTATTTTGGAGGCCGGGTGGGACCATCAACGTATTCTGGAAACATCCGAAAAGAGTTTGGACTATTTCGCTCGGGTAAGTGTGAGATTGACGCCATCTCCACAAAGAGGGCTATTTTCTAAGCGCTAAAAAGACCTCGCAAATGCCATGGATGGACATGCTTTTTGACAAAAACCCATTGCTTCGCCTCGGGCCTCCCGGGTTTGCCTGGGCAACGGCCTTCAGTTACGAAGAACTAGAAAAGCGCCGTCAGAGAGGTCCCGCCCCGAATATTCCTCCAGACTTTCTGGACAAGTTCCTCGACGAGATGCACAAGCGCCCGGATATTATCGATACGAATATGGTTGTTACATACCTCCTCTCGAATGTGTTAGCCGGGAGCGACACAACAGGTTCCGCTATGTGCTCCGCCTTGTACAATATCCTTAAGCACCCACAATCCCACCAAAAACTGCGGTACGAACTACGCTGTGGTGGAATTCAGCTACCCGCCCAGTGGAGGGATCTAAAATGCCTTCCGTACCTTGACGCCGTGATGCGCGAGTCAATGCGGATCTATCCACCCATTGGTCTCATGATTGAGCGGGTCGTCCCGGTAGGTGGTTTCACTCTTCCTGATGGGCGATTCGTACCCGAAGGGACTATTGTGGGTATGAATCCATGGGTCATCAATCGAAACGAGGATATCTTTGGGCCAAGCACTGACTCTTTTATTCCTGAACGCTGGCTTCCAACTCCGGGCGAATCCGATGAAGACTACAAGGTACGCTTTACGAAGATGAACTCCGTGGACTTTACGTTTGGGGCTGGCTCGCGGACGTGTCTTGGGCGGGATCTTGCCCGGTTGGAGAGTTACAAGCTTATAGCTATGCTATTCATCACATTTGATGTCCGTTCATCCTCCCCCCTTGCCCCTCCTGCGCCAAATCTTGAGATATTCTGTCTTCACCAACTAACACTGTATCATTCATCAGATGGAACTCCCCCGTCTCGACCACGAGTGTCACGTGACCAACTCCTGGTTCGTCAGACTGACAGATATTCCCGTTCGACTCAAGGAGAGAGGAGACCTTGGGTTCGTGACACACGAGAAGAGTTGTTAATGGTTTCGACCGCTGGATACCTTATGATTATTGGCGGTACTTTCTGGGTCAAGGAAGATCCATTGTAGGATGAAAGAAGAAGCTCAATCCATATAGCTCGCTGTTCTAGAGTGCCTTTCTCTCAATCTTGGTAGCAATGCTGGCCACCCTTCAAAAAAGGATGAATGGATGAACCTCGTACTTCAAAGTTTTTTATTTTTGAGCTAGCGTGGAACCGCATCACAACATAGTCCGTGATATATATAATACCCATGCCGAAGAATAGGTCCTGCGTGAGGTATAGATCAACAAAGGTTAGCAAGTTCTGAGTAACCATATTCCGCTTATACATATATCTCAATAGGGCAACAATCAAGAGTCATATATTACCATGAATATTATCTGCGGTGGCCCTGTTCTATTTGTATTGGGATGCTTTTTGTAATCCCCCAGAGTTAAGATTCTATTGTGCATATACTGCTCAAGTAAAAGGGGTAATGATACAAATTTTTGTATGATTGACTCAGTGATGAAGCTCTCACCGATTCTATAATAAAGCACAATTCAGAGGGACACTATCACTGTACAAGTAACTATATAGCCTATGCTGGAACTTAGGAAGGGTCCTTTTTTTTCTTTTTTCTTTTCATTTCTCTTCCTTTCTCTTCGTTTAGAGGGTTAAAATGTGTTCTCGAGCATATATTATGATAGTCGGCACTCTCTAGTATCCGTTTGCCGTTTAGTCGCTAGATATATGATGAATGTGGGTTTGGCGTAATAAACGCATACTCATCGGATGCCATCTCCATATTCCATCATTTTGCCCAGCCTCTTGAAGTATTTATCATATCCCATGAGCCAGCTAACTACTCGGAACGAAGAAACAACCGTCGCTATGGAAGGCTTGACTACAACATGCCTTGGGCACACTTCGTATATCAATGAGTTGATAATTTGGTCCCGAAGATTGTCGAACCAAATCCGATGCCATGTAAGCCTTCTGTCCTAATCAAAAAGCTAATTACGAAGACAAGCTAGGTATTGTGGCAATAATTGAAAATCTGGTAACCCGCTAATCATTACAGACAGACACCCGCGAAGAGCGAAGCGTCATCACCAAAAAGAATAGTACTAAAATAAAAGGTGTCAAATTTGATTTGACCATACTCTGGAATGAGCCATTAGAAAATAACCTTATGTACACCGTTGAATCTGTTTTCTAATATGTTTTCAAAACAAAACTCTACAGTGAGGGTAGATTCTGAAGCTGCTTCTCAAGGGCATCATAGATGAAGGGACAGGGCTGCGTCGCCTGATATCATGGGAGTAAGTTTTAGAATAATCTCGATATTAGGAATATAATTGTCCAATTTAGGTAATCTAAAGGTTGGGTTATTTTGTCGGAACTGTTACATCCCGCTTAGACCTTTGGTAAAGTCCCTGAAAGTTGGCCCCCATACAGTTTTATCAGGGATTTTCTTGCCGGTGACTACTTAGTTCTAGAAAATCCCTCACAAAGCAAGGAAAGATCTTGGCATCTATTCTGTCGACAGAAGTCTCTTCATAGTATCAATGGTGGTTCACTGGCAAATAGGTAATAGGCTTCTGTACATGATGTGATATCTCGTGTTCGTCTTAATCTTCTGAGAAGGCTTGAAACCCTGATGATCTCCGGTGGTTCCAACTAAGTGGTCGTGGTGGCGTCTATTTATGAGAACCAGGAGGTTACCAGACACCATACGGTTGATTTTTTTTTTCGGATTCGCACGGCGCAAGGAAGCCAATGTTAACATCCTGAAAACCATTTCCCAAATATACCCTGACTTTGAGGGTAAGAGAAAAGATCTAAATGCTATCCAACAAATGGTCGGTGACTAGTGTAAAGGGGTGATAAGAAAAAATAAAACCGGAAAACAAAAACAAAAAAAAAAAAAAAAAAAAAGCCAGTAACTGGGTCTTCCTAAGCATAGGGTGGTCCGTAGGAGCTCTACAGTAGGTATCAGTTTGACCACCATCTTTTAAGAACCACCATCAAGTCTCCTTCTCCCCCAATCGAGCATAGGATGTTTGCTTGCGCATATCAACTCACCACTCTATCCTGCACATAGGTTTTAGTCGTAGGTATTTGGGCTTTCAATAATTATTACCACCCCACTATCGAGTCGCTGCGTTCGTTGGTATAGTGTACGGGATTGCGCGCGGTTAGTGTTAGACTTGACTCTGTCTTCCCATCATAATAGCCAGCTGATCTGGTAAGGCTGCCGAGCATAGGAATTCTGCACACATAACGAGGTGTTGGCAAAAGGGAAGCAAGGCCTTTTTTCCAGGTAAAGCGCAACGACTTGATTCATTGTATCTTAGACATTGGCACCACCAGCGAAGGGATTTTGTGTTCACATTGGCAATGGGGGCTAACCCTTATTGCTCCTATAAAATGAACTCCTCTTAGTATGAGTCACCGCCGATCCACTATCTGATCGGAAGCGCTCCGAGGGAGTCTCCTCCATTCCTCTATGCGATGGCTGGCTCCCTTCCCATAACCGTCTGACACCATTCTCGGAAGGACCTTATCCTCTCTAAACTCCTTGCCACTCATTTACGACTACTCGGTATATTCACTGTTCCCTGATGTGACTGGCGGTAAGTGGTAACAAAGTCGATAAAATGAATATACTGGCAGATTGGTCTTTCAAGTGGGCGGCGGGGTCCTGGTGTATAGAATCCGGGAAAAGGGTAGTGGGACTCTTATGTGACTGTATATAATGATCACTAGCTGAATCCATTATCATAGACGGTCGAAGGCATCATGTGCATGTGGACGTGCTATTGAACTCTCAGCCCCATTTTTCTATCAAACACCACGTCCTTACTGAAACTTCGTCGATATTTCCTACGTTTACTGGTTAGTATTACGCACCCAATCGTTATAGATACACACCGGATATATCCCCGATAGATAAAATGGTGAAGATGCCAAAATGCTGCATTGACCGAGGCACAAATAAATCAGGAACACAAGATGTAAATTACTACTGAAATAGATAAGGGTGGGAGAAGAAGCCGTGCACACCCAGGGTCTGGGTCTTGAATGCTCCGGCTATTTGCTATGCGTAATCTCCTACCCGTTCCATTCAATAACTGACTATATTTACCCACGTTTTCTATTTGGGGATCCTGGTCGTGGTATAAGTACACGGAAATCGCCGGAGGAGCGATCCATCTGATATATTGGGAAAAGCCATGGGGAAATTTAAAGAAATACTTTTTCTTCGATCTCCCAGAGGTATGTGTTTGCCTCTTGTCAGAATACATACCACAACTTAACTATGGAGAACTAGGTGCTCTGGCAACGCAGGAAAACTCGCGGCTTTGGGCCTGGAGCCCATCCCGCCTTGACGGGACTTCGCTTACAGTGGATGCCATCGCTCTCGGGAAAGAGAGCGATTCCAAATTGGCATCATTGCCCCTTGGTGACTTTGGGCAGACTGCGTTTGTTTTTCCTCTCGCACGCCTATATAATGATCTCAGTTTCAGTATATATGAGTATCTAGAGACCTACAGGGAAGTTCAAAGGAGTATCCCAAAATTTCTCGTGGTATGAAGATTTCGGATTCCCTGTTGTGTGTGCCTAAAACGTTGACTTGTTCTAGAGCCTGGCCGAATATGGAGCGGACCCGTTCGTAGCCAAAGCAGTAGAGAATGCAATCCAGTGTGCGACAAAAACCGAATATTCAGAATTGTTGCTTGATCCACGGTTCATAATTGAACCAGTCCAGAGACTCCTTAATGCTCCCACTCCCGTAAGTCATAAGCAGAAACAGCTAATCATACTTCACTCTCGTTTTCGCAAACAATACTTATCCGAGGACTCGACATGGAATATTGAGTTCGACACATCAGAAAACGAGCTTTTAGGTATAAAGCCACATAAGATACCTGTCTACGCCGAAGCGAAAACTATAATTGATGCAAGTCTCTTCAATTCACTTACAGCAGAAGATATAATAAGTATTACGAATCTTAAAGACTTAAATTTACGCTGCGACGCTCTCACGCGCCAAGTTCAAGAATATATGGATGTCGGCGTGAATCCTGAACTTATCGATCAACTTGCCCAGGTAAGCCTTTAATATGTTACGGGGATATAAAGATCACGAGAAAGAATAATCCCTGTATAGGAATTTCGGAACAGGCGGAACTTCTTCTCTTTCACATCTGTCCTTAATGGGGTCGCCTTGAGCCGTCTCAAAACAGAGACACTTTCTCAGTGGGCAACTCTTATCGACTCATATGAGCAATACAAGGGCTATAGGGACTTTGTGCGCCCGGACCTCGGGAGGCCAGCTTTACACTCTTTGGTCCCCTATGTAACATTTTGTAAGCATTGGCAGACACAGAGAGCTCCGCACTCGCCCGTCGACAAGCAGGCAATGAGGGGTTGGAACTCGATATCAGAGGGAGTTCTAAACGATATAGAGAAGGTCGTCTGTTCATATCAAGAGTACAAACGAACTCTGCTCAAGGCTCAGACCGTTGATGGGTAATATTCAAACCCATTCAGTACTGAATAACGGAGAAAGGTCGCTACCCACATATAAGGAACGGGTGGAAAATAGGTCATTCCCACATTTACAAGAGGAATGACCCATAGATCACGGCCACACATAGCAGGAACCACATAGATATACACCTAGGTAGGGAAGGCCGCCGGTCTCTTATAATTAGTAACCTTTGTATGAGTTTACCTCGCGTGCGCCAGTAGATACCATATCAATAATAGTCTATTATTTTCCGGATTACACTTAGTTGCAGGCATTGTTTGTTTACTTTTTTTCTTTAATCCTACTTATCTAGGTTTGTTTTGTGTCGCATGCTAGACACTATCCGGGTGTTCGACAAGAGGGTTCTAGCAATCTAAATACGGCCTTTATATCATAGCTAAATAATATGTGTTGACCCATTCCAATGACCCATCATCATATTTCTTTTTCCAATTTATGGGATACCAAGATATCCAGACATGTTAGACTTACATTGCGCAACTAGTCAGTCGAGAGATAACCTGAAGCAGATCACGTATCTCGACCTT